TCTTTAACTACTATTTTTTTAGTAAATAATAAATCAACGTAAAATTAAATATATACTTTTTAAAGGATATATTGCTGCATTTATTTGTTTTCCAAACTTTCTGTAATGATCATAATTGATATTAATGATTTCTTTTGGTGCTGAGTGTTTGAAAGTGATAAATTTCTCTTTGGATCCTGTAAAGGAGCTGAAAAAAGATGTAAAGTTCTTTCTTTGAGGCCTTATAAAAAATAGAAATCAAAATCTTTTCCTCCAATAATTTTAGCCACTGAAGAGGCTTGCAAAAGGTCAATGGTTACATTGCGATTTCTTGTTGCTTCTTGCCAAATGTTTGTTAAAGAGATGTTCTCCACATTCCAATTATTTCAATTAAACTCTCAATCATTAGCACTTTGACACTTTCACCGTTAGAACATCGAGCGAGTCTGTTTTAAATTTGTGGGATAAATATTTGACATTTAAAGCTAATAGAAATTGATATTTAGAGTTGAATTTTACAGGAAATTTTTTGTATGGAATGGAAATTTTCAATACCTTTTGTAGTTCTTTACCCCTTTTTTTAATGTTTTTCTGAACCTATTATTTAATGTTATTGCAGATGTTATGTGACAAACGAACTTGAGATCCAGTGAAACGATGGAATCGAGTGCCTATCCTGAGCGTCCTGGAGAACCTGATTGTTCTTATTATATCAGGACAGGCCTTTGTAGATTTGGGGCATCATGTCATTTTAATCATCCTCCTAACCGTAAACTGGTATAAATCCATGGATTGTATAGACATTTCTTGTGAGTTCAGAGTCTTTTTTTTGGGTACAAAGCGCCTTAATTTGGGAATAGGGGACAGAGTTGCAGGTGATGATATTTTAACTCTATACCTACTAGATGCCGCCTCTTAGTGCTATTTGTATAACTAACTAAACAAGTCCTGTCCAGAGTTAATGCTTTTTGAGTGGGATATTTTGTATTATTGTCATTGGCATAATATTGGTAAGAAGTTGTAGACGTAAAACTTTTACACATGGATCTTTGCAACTAAATCATTCTAAAACATAAATCATTGTAGGAAGTTTATAGAGTATTAGATACTCTAGATTAGCATGATTTTGTATATGCATACGAACTACAGTTGCTGCTAAAAAAAGGAAGGGGGGGATTAATTATACTTCACCTTCTACAGTGATTTTATTTAACTTTGTACTACTCATTTGAGTTTTTAAATATCAATTGTCAGTTGAAATGTTTATTTAGATTATATCAAATTCCAGGCTATTGCTGCGGCAAGGATGAAAGGAGAGTTTCCAGAAAGAGTAGGACAACCTGAATGTCAGGCAAGTATTTGTTCCTTGGTTTCACATGTAACAATGCTGCTGCTTTTTCATGTGTGCTTTACGATATGCAATGTATGGTTAACATGAAGTATAATACTTTTTATGTATCTGAAAAAGGAAATTAATTTTATTAGTTGTAAATTGGTTTATTTAATCAAAATCGCGGCTCAAAAATTTTGATATAGAAGTGAATGCAGATTTTTCTCTACAAATTCAATATGCTGTTATTGGTGAATTCTTATGGATATCACCGTTGGATCCATTAGTTTTGCAGTGCATAATTTGTTCACATCTATATAGATAATTCACTAGAATTAAATGAGTAATCCTGCTACTTTTAATTTTGTTCATAATGAAACAAGGATTACTTCAGATTTAGGGACAAATCCTGCTGAATGTTGAATAGAGTGAGACTAATTTTAGGTTAAAGGAAAATTTATGGAAAATAATAGTATAACCAACATAGATTGTTGATGATAAAGATTGTATGTGGTTTCTTCCTCCCTTGTCTCTGCTTTTGCCTCAAAGGTTCTTGTTGTCAAAAGCGATTCATAAAGACAGATGGAATACTGACTTGATCCTAGTATAAGGAAATAAACAAATAAAGAAACTAAGAAAATAGAAATATGCTAATAAATTGGGTTGAGAAAAGGTTTACTTCTCTTCCAGTGGTTTGACTTAGCAGTCAAACTTTAGTCTGAACTATCAGCTTGACTAGGAGACTGACTTCTTCTAGTATTTGCTTTCTTCTTTTCCATTCTGCAAAGGCTGGATAGCACTGACTCCCGCTTTTACTGCATTGGAAGCTAAACTGTGATCTCGACAGAAGCGAATCTTTTGGTTTTACCGCATCGTGTCCAATTATAGGACTCTCCGGTTCTCATTTTTCATATATGTTCGGATCCAACATGTAACACCCAACCCGTATCCGACTCGAATACGAGTCCGAGATGTCACATTGACTTTTAAAAACAATATTCTTACAAAATATCCAAATATTTGAACTCTTTTTAAGAAAATATGATAATATATTGTTGAATCATATTTGTTATAATCAATTTAAGAAAATATACGTTTTATGAACAGTAAAATACGGTATGAATAGTAAACAATACCGTATGAACAATACCATAAACAGTGAAAAAATTTCGAATATAAATTATGCATCGATGCACTGCTACAGTAATTTTGTAAAAATATGTATAAATTCATAAAAATATAACCATTCATCGCTATGCAGTTACATTTACATAAATATGTTAAAAACATTATAAAACTCAATTAGAGCATAAATACTTAATTTATCGACTTTGTATACATGCCAACCATTATCATTCTTACAGAATACATAATATACATTTCTTTTCTGATATGATCTTTGGAAAGGAGAACTAACCTGTCTTGCATAACTCTTATCAATCTTCCTCTTCTCAGAACCTACGCGTGAAACAATCACACGCTAAGTCATAGACTTAGTGAGGCATATAAAACATATAATAAAAACCATAAAACATATAATAAAAACCATAAAACATTTCATATATCAAAATGTATACATGCACATATACCCTCATTATCATGATTTCTATCATTATCATATAACACATTTATCATATGATCTTGTACTTAACATTTATGTATATCATATAACACATATAATATCATATAATTCATGTAACATATTTCATATCACCAAAACATATATAAATCATATGTATTGTATTTGTTATTGTCTCTTTATTAGCCCATGTACATTTTTGAGAACTTAAGGTATTCGAGTACATTGAGGTTGTGCACAAATGTTGTCACCACAGCTCGTATAAATTCCCACTAGGGGCACTGAATATTTGTCCCGAAGGACCGCGTAGAAATGTCCCGAAGGATCACATATCACATTTGTCCCGAAGGACCACATATCACATTTGTCCCGAAGGACCACTCCTTAAGAACCATATAAATAATACAATGGACCAAAAAAGTGTACCGAAGTACCACATACATGTTCCACGGAATTACATATATGTCCCGAAGGACCACGTAGAATTGTCCCGAAGGACCGCATAGGCCCTCGACTCTTGGCATGCCAACTATACCTCTAGATCTCATGACACATAACATGGACATTATATTTTATAATTATCGCATATTCACATCAGTACATAGTTCACTTACACGTAGAACATTTTCATATGAATCATATTCACATGTCACATAGCTTATACCTTGTTCTTATGTCTTCTCATAGACATATATTCTTTCTCACATAATCACATAGGTTCATATCATATAACATGTATCATGTGCTGCATATTTATAGGCCACATATTTCATATCACTTTACATAGAATCACATAACTTGTTTCATATAGCTTATAGAATTTCTCCTTTGTTTATATACATATGTCATATATTGTTCACATATATTCATATATACTTTACATAACACATAAGATAACATATCATGCATATCGCATAGTTGATATCATATTTTTCATATATTCATGTACACATAAAGATCACATACATTTTAGAAATTACTCCTTACCATAATAACTCTGTCATTGGCTCATCGTAAGCCAATGTTTGATCAATAACTTAAGTACAATTAAATTGCACTCACCTTTGCCTTGCTTTGATTCGATCCTAATTCTTTGATTGTTCCAGAATTTGTTTAGGCTCAATATCTACATAAACATAATTTCAAGACGATTTTCAGAAGCCTAAACCTTATAACTTGGTATTAATAACTTAGGCTAATTTAATGAACCAAAATTCCATTTTTCCTTTAGGGGTGTATCGATGCACTATGGGTGCATCGATACACAAAATAGCTTCGAAATTTCCATACATCGATGCACCCCTTAATGCATCGATGCACCTTCAAATTTTGTCTTAGTGCATCGGTACACACTTATAGTGCATCGATGCACCTGCCAATTATAAACTGATTTTACTCGAAAATCCCATAACTCTTCATTAAAATTCTTCATGTTTTATTCCCTTTTCTATTCTTAACTCAAGTACATATACTTAAACTAATTTCTACTCATTCAATACACCTTTAACCTTAAAATTCCATCTTCCATATGGAAATCAATAATCATACTAAATTTTTAAGATGCTCTAAATCCAATTCTATCACTTCATATCTCTTAATTAAGTTGATGACAAGTCAAATTTAATTTCAAATTCAACTTATCAACTCTTTTCCAAAAATTCACTTAAAAACCCATTTTCTTTAATCTTTATAACTTATTCATCTTTTGATTTTAAGATAACTTAAGCTTAGTTATCATCTAATGATCAAAACTCAACCTTTAAATCAACAAATAATCAACTAATTCGAAAACTTACCTTTGCAAGCTTGGCTCTCTCTTCTCTCGTACATGAAGAAGAAGAAGAAGAAGAAGAAGAAGAAGTGGAGAGAATATCTCCTCATCCTTATCCCCACATGCCTATATATCATTTTCAAGTCAAATGACCATTTTGCCTTTTAATTCTTTTAATAATTACCAATAACCCTTCAGATATTATTTTCAAATAAATCATTGAACTTTTTAACTTTTCCACTTTAATCACCAAATTCTGAAATTTTACAATTTAGTCACTAACTCATAGTTTGGGATGTTACACAACAACTGACATTTTCCTCTTAACTGCTCTGCAGTACTACCTGAAAACGGGAACTTGCAGATTTGGAGCTACATGCAAGTTTCACCATCCTAGAGACAAAGCTGGGATAGCTGGGAGAGTTTCCTTAAATATTTAGGGCTACCCTCTTCGCCTGGTTTGGATTTTATTTTTTCCTTTTACTCCTTAAAAATACAATTTTACAATGATGCAAAATTATGTCAATTTCCATGTCCTTTTGGTTTCAGTTTTGTCTCTTTTTCATTTTAAACGAAAAAAATACAATTTTCTAATTGGATTAATTGAAAAAACCCCCCGGAAATTAATGCCATCCAGATTAGATCCAATATGAAAAATGCACATATACAGACAAGGATGATAAATTAAATTCTTTATCACTTGCTATTACTCAAAGAAAGGCTTTCCTCTTTTCATTTTTGAGTTACGAAATTGGTTTCAACTTTAAATATGAATTGTTATGTAAGTTTGGACCATTTTAGCCTAAAAAAATTGTTTGGTTGTTATGTAAGTTTGGACCTTGTTGGCAAGCTGTATTTCTTCAATGATAGGTTTCTAACATATAGTTTTTTGTGTGGTTATTGGTGATTTATAGTCTTAGTGTAACTTGCTTTCCTTTTCCTTTTCCTTCATACAGGACGAGACCGAGTGTGCTTATTATCTGAGAACTGGACAATGCAAGTTTGGGAGCACTTGTAAATTTCACCATCCTCAACCAACTAATATGATGGTTTCATTGAGTGGCTCTCCTATTTATCAAACTATTCCTTCTCCAGCCACTCCTGGTCAGCAGTCATATCCAGGAGGAATTACAAATTTGTCAAGAGCATCTTTCATTCCTAGCCCCCGTTGGCAAGGTCCAACAAGTTATGCACCCCTGATTTTACCCCAAGGGATGGTATCGGTTCCAGGCTGGAATGCTTATAGTGTAAGCTTTTTTTTAGCTTATTACTAATGCTTTGTTCATTAAGCATGCTCATTTAGTGTTTTCATGTGTTTGGACAACATTAGAGGTGACAAGTGAGGCAACTCATGAGAATTGTAATTGTCAGTAGGTGCTTTAAAATTTTCAAGGAAAAAGTATAACCCTTATTATCATGCTTATTAGTAGGTTTTATGGTTTAAAATAAAAAGGCATGTCAAACTATGGGTAACGCCTACCCAAATGTGAATTGGATTGGAATTTAACTCTTAATCCGAGTGATTTGATATTCTGGTTTCTCCATTTTTTGGTCTTAGTAAATAAACATGATGTGCAGATGTTTCTTTAAAATTATGTTCTTGATTGTTGAGTTAACTTTACAGTTCAGAAATGACAGCAAAATTGAATCAGAAAGTTTGTAGCTTAAGTTGATTAACTGCTGTTCCTACCAGAAACACTAGTCTATCTCCTTTTGAATACATTCAACTGTATGCCATAAACGTGGTCACACATGTATTTTCATTGACAACTGTTTATTGATCTGAGAAAAAGTAAACATGAACTGCAGCTGCTTCTTTGTATTTCTAATTGTTGAATTAATTGATAAGTTTGAAGTGAGCGTGAAATTATTTAACTTATTTGATAGCTGATTCTTTATTCAAAAACAACTGGCCTATCACCTTGTGAAATACATCAACTGTATTCTATAAACTAGAACCTGTCATGTATGTATTTCCGTTAAAAAATAAATGTCTTTTAGTAATGTTAGAGTTGTGGCTCTCTCTACAGCATTTGGTAATGTAATTTGAATTTTACTTTTACTAGCAAGCATCTGTGCAGCTAGTAACTTGTGATCTGTGAGAACTACTACCATTAATTATCCAAGAAAAGAAAAAGTACAAGGGAGACAAGTGCTACCATTCTAATTCTTTTCGTTTTTCCAGGGTCAACTGACATCAACATCTTCTTCAGAGAACTTGCAGCAGACAAATGTAAATCACCAAATCTACGGAGCCTCACGCCAGAGTGAATCAGCAACTTCAGGATCCCAAGCATCCTTTTCTCAATTACGCTCTGGTTCTGTCCCTGTAGGTGTTTATGCATTGCAGAGGGAAAATGTATTCCCTGAAAGACCTGGTGTAACCCCCTAGACCCGGCCTAAACGTTAGACCCAAACCCAAGCGGGCACATGTCCCATTCAGAGATTTCTTTATATTTAAAACACTTATATTACATTATTTATAATACAAAACAAGATATTAGTAATACAAATAAGTCCAAAACGATAGCAAATACATGTCACCAAACACAACTAAAAAACATATAGAGATATACGTTCGTACAAATTAAGTAGTTGATCTTCCCTGATGCCAAATCTGCTAGCTTACGGTCTTCTACTATCTGAAAAAGGTTAAAAACTACAGAATGAACTAAAAAGCTCAGTGTGCTCCATACAGTATATAATAAAAACATACGGATAAAATCTTTCAATGAAATCGGTTTATGCAACATGTTTTTAAAACATGAACACTACCCCCATCCGTTCACATCATAATTGTGTAGGTTCCCCAGAACCATACACCCAACCGCACATGCCATTTAGACCCTGAGCACAAAGCCGAGAAGTCTGCAGATAATCTTCCTTCAACAATACCCACCCAAATGACAATGAATGTATTCAAATGAAAACAATGATTAATCACTTAAAACATAACAAATATTTCATGCTTAAAAACCATATGCAGAAATACGAAAATCAGAATTCAAATCAATAATTCAGATATCAGATAAGCAGATCTCAGAAGTCGGTATGAAATACCTTAATTCAGAAATTATATCAGAATATACAGTAAATCAGATATCAAGTATTCGGTATTCAGATAAATCATTTAAATCAGTAATATAATACTGTTAGGAAACACACCTGTAACAGTCTGAGAAATCGGATAGGGAAGCCTACTACTGGATTTGTCGATTACGCTCTGCTGCAGCGCTAGATCCTACGAATTGGAAAAATCCTTATTGGAATTCTAATAAAAAAAAATAATCTTAATCTTTACTTAAATAATATACGGAAACCTACGGGTAGTTCTTGTAATACGCGGTTCGGACTGATCTGACGAACGGACAACACCGGACCTGACTGATCCTTGCTCAGGTAAAACACGAGTACCTTCATAAAATATCTTACTTAATCAATTTCTTAACCATATATCAAAATACTAAAATACTAAGCCTTTTTAGGTTCACAAGCTCGATTCGGGAATTTCGGGTCAGAATTTGGAAAAACGGACTTCGGAATCAAACTCAGGACGTCGAAAAACATAAAGTATGACCTTCCGAAATTTCGAATTCTCGGTCAAAATCAAAGTCAACGGGTTTGACTGACGATTTGGAGACTTTCGGGTTCGAATTTGGTGAAACAGACCCCAAAAACAGATTCGGGACGTCGAAAACTGTCAGGATAGGTGTTTTCGGAAAAGATTAACGATCGTTTAATAGCCGGTCAAAGCCGGTCAAAGTTCTGGTCAAAGGAGGTCAACAATCTGTTGAACATTTTACACAAATAGCACCCTTTTTCGAATTATTTACCAGAATAGCACCAAAACTGAATTATTTACCAGAATAGCACCAAAACCGAATTATTTACCAAAATAGCACCAGTCAACGGTCAACGGTCAACGGTCGGGTCGGGTCAACGGGTCGGGTCAACGGTCGGGTCGGGTCAACTATCGGGTCGGGTCGTGACCGGTCAAACCGGTCAAACCCTTAAGAAAACCGGTCAAACCGGTTTTTTTCAAACATTCACTCGCCCACCGGCGGCGCGTGTAGGCGCGTGGGACGTCTTCCGGGACTCTAAAAATTCCGGAAAAATTTCTAAAAATTATTTTCAGTGATTTCGAGATACTTACAAATATCGGTTCAAATTTTTGAACGGCGGAGAGCTCGATTTCATCAAATCGGAAACTTTGACCGCTTCACCTCCCCACGCGCCGCCGTCGACGGAGATCGAGGATGACACCGGCGAACTCGGAACGGCACAAGGAACACGATGGTGCGGGAGGTGTCGTAAACGGAGCAACGATCGGCGATGAATTTAGGATTTTCAAGGCGATTGAGCTAAAAAAAAAACGTCGATGCTTTGACTTGAAATTCACGACGTTTGGCAGCGTTTCGCTTCAATTAAATTGAGGGGATTGTTCCTGACTCGATAACGAACACGATGGTGCTTTCAAAACAACGATCGGAATTCAGACGGCGTCGGAATCGGGGTCGGAAGTTGAGGCAAGGAAATGGAAATTTGGGAGGAATTGGGTTCTGATTTTCAGAACCCAATTCACGCATAAATCATATATATAAACCAAATACCTAACTTTTTTGGGGTAAATTCAGGGCTTGGTCCCTGAATTTCCTTTAACTCTAAAACAAGCTTCAAGTTTTAAAATCTTTCAATTTAGTCCCCAAATTTTCACCAATTACACAATTAAATCTTCAAATCCCAAATTAATATTATTTGAAATTTTCGGGTTGTTACAATTCTCCCCCTCTACAAGAAATTTCGTCCTCGAAATTTACCTTATGAAAACAGATGAGGAAATTGAACCTCCATTGACTCCAATGTCTCCCAAGTAGCTTCTGAGGGGCTACGTTTACTCCATAGAACTTTGACCATTGGAATACGCCTATTCCGAAGAACTCGCTCATCCCTCTCTAAAACATGAACAGGCTCCTCCTCATATGACAAATCAGGTCTCAGCTCTACCTCATCAACCTGAATGATGTGATCTGGATCTGGACGGTATCGCCTTAACATAGACACATGAAAAACATCATGAATACGACTGAGCTGGGGAGGCAACTCAAGCTGATAAGCAACAGGTCCAACTTTCTTCAGAATACAATACGGCCCAATAAATCTCGGACTCAATTTACCCTTACGTCCAAATCTCAATACCTTCTTCCATGGAGATACCTTGAGAAAAACCTGATCTCCAACCTCAAACTCGATATCCTTACGTCGCTTATCTGCGTATGACTTCTGCCTATCAAATGCCTCTCTTAATCGATCACGGATCAGTCTGACAGTATCTTCAGTCTCTCGAACCAAGTCTGGACCCAGAGTATTCCTATCATGCAATTCAGTCCAACATATAGGAGTACGACATCTACGTCCATACAGAGCCTCATACGGTGCCATGCGAATACTCGCCTGATAACTATTATTGTAAGCGAACTCAGCTAATGGCAAGAAATCTTCCCAGCTACCACGAAAATCAATCACACAACCACGTAACATATCCTCCAACACCTGAATCAATCGCTCAGACTGTCCATCGGTTTGAGGATGAAAAGCTGTACTGAAATTCAAACGAGTACCCAGAGCCTCGTGCAAAGCTTTCCAGAACCTGGAAGTGAATCTCGGATCTCGATCAGATATGATAGACAACGGGACACCATGAAGTCTAACGATCTCAGAAATGTACAACTTAGCCAGTTTATCCAGAGAATAATTAACCCGAATAGGGATAAAGTGCGCTGACTTGGTGAGTCGATCAACAATCACCCATATAGAATCCTTTTTGGAAGGAGTTAGAGGAAGACCAATAACGAAGTCCATCGTAATACGCTCCCATTTCCACTCAGGAATCTTAATTGACTGTAACAATCCAGATGGATGCTGATGCTCTGCCTTAACCTGCTGACAAGTCAAACACCTCGCCACAAAATCTGAAATATTTTTCTTCATACCAGTCCAAAAGTAGCGCTCTTTGAGATTATTGTACATTTTGTCCCCGCCAGGATGCATAGCATATGGACTACTATGAGCTTCCTGAAGAATAACCCGTCTCAACTCATCATCTTTAGGGACGCAATGACGACCGTGAAAACACAAAATACCATCCTGATCCAAAGTATACTCCGAACTCGATCCCTGCTTAACTTGTTCAATAATGGGAAACAACGAGCTGTCAAGGAGTTGTTTGGCCTTAATCTCCTCGGCCAAAGTAGGTTTAACCTGTAACTCTGCTAACATGCTATTATCATCAAATAAGCTCAAGTTAGCAAATAAGGCTCTGAGATCTGATATCGCCTTACGGCTCAAGGCGTCTGCCACTACATTAGCCTTCCCTGGATGATATTCTATCTCGAAATCATAATCCTTTAAAAGCTCCAACCAGCGATGCTGTCTCAAATTCAATTCTTTCTGAGTAAGCAGATACTTCAGACTCTTATGATCAGTATATATAACATTTTTCTCCGTAGAGGTAGTGTCTCCAGATCTTTAAAGCGAAAACCACAGCAGCTAATTCCAGATCGTGAGTAGGATAGTTACGCTCATGCGGCCTTAACTGACGTGATGCATAAGCGACAACCTTCCTATCTTGCATCAAAACACATCCTAATCCAGAATGAGAAGCATCACTGTAGACAGAAAAATCCTTCCCAGATTCAGGCTGAATCAACACTGGGGCTTGAGTTAGAACAGTCTTCAATTTCTCAAAGCTAGCTTGTTGGTCCTCAAACCAGACAAATGGAACATCTTTCCTTAATAGTTTCGTCAGAGGAGCTGCAATAAGGGAGAACCCCTCAACGAAACGACGGTAGTAACCAGCTAACCCCAAGAAACTACGGATCTCAGAGACGTTCCTAGGTTGCTTCCAGTTCAGAATAGCCTCCACTTTGCTCGGATCCACCTGAATGCCATCAGCAGAGACAATATGTCCAAGAAAAGTCACTTCGCTGAGCCAGAATTCACACTTGCTCAACTTAGCGTATAGTTTATTCTCCCTTAGAGTTTGAAGAACAATCCTTAAATGCTCCTCATGTTCTGCTTCACTTCTAGAATACACCAGTATGTCATCAATGAATACAACTACAAACTGGTCCAAATAAGGTCGAAACACCCTATGCATCAAATCCATAAAGGCAGCAGGGGCGTTAGTTAACCCGAAGGACATCACCAAAAACTCATAGTGCCCATACCGAGTACGGAAAGCAGTCTTCGGAATATCCACATCTTTCACTTTGAGTTGGTAATAACCAGATCTCAAGTCTATCTTTGAAAAGATAGAAGCCCCTCGGAATTGGTCAAAAAGATCATCGATTCTGGCCAGAGGATATTTGTTTTTAACCGTGAGCTTGTTCAGTTTTCTATAATCAATACAGAGTCTCAATGTCCCATCTTTCTTCTTAACAAAGAGAACTGGGGCTCCCCACGGTGATACACTGGGTCGGATAAATCCCCTGTCCAACAACTCCTGGAGTTGGACTTTCAGTTCCTTAAGCTCCTTTGGGGCCATACGATAAGGATCCATTGAAACCGGGTTGAAACCAGAATAGACTTCAATCTCAAACTCGACTTCTCTATCTGGAGGTAATCCAGGCAACTCCTCGGGAAAAACATCGGAAAATTCCTTGACAATTCGGATGCCTTCAATATCTGATTGAGATCTCCTAGTGTCCAGAATATAAGCAAGAAACGCCTCGGAACCCTTCCTGATCATCTTCTCCGCTACCAAGGAAGACACAACATTCGTCAGAAATCCACGTCGTTCCCCGATCATTACAATCTTTCGATTATCTGGGGTCTTCAGAACAACTCTCTTAGTCTCAAAATCAATATTTACTTGATGTTTGTTCAACCAATCTACGCCGAGAATCAAATCGAACTCTTCAAAGGGTAACTCCATCAGGTTAGCCAGAAAAATCTCCCCGTTGATCTCTACAGGGCACTTTCTAAAAATACGATGCAACACGATGGATTTGCCTAAGGGACTTTGAACTATCACTGAATGCTCAGTATACTCAACAGGAATATTTAGACCCTCAGAAACGGAATGCGATACATAGGAATTTGTAGAGCCACTATCAAACAATGCAAAGTATGGAACTGAATGAATAGTAACAGTACCTGCAGTCACATTAGGCCCATCACGATCTTGTCGAAGTCTGGCAGTATAAACCAATGCAGGTTGTCTGGCCTCAGATCTGACTGGACCCCTATTTTGAGATGCTCGGCCTCTATTAGCCGATCCAGGTGCTCTCTCCTGAGTATGACCACCTACAGGAGTCTGAACAGTACTCTGAGATCGAGCGGGAGTACGAGCTGGTGTCTGAACTGTAGAAACTGGCACTGGACAATCCCTTATAATATGGTCACCAGAACCACATCTAAAACAGGTGCCAAATTTTCTTCTGCATTCCCCAAGATGATGTTTCCCACAGTAATCACATGTCTGCAAAGGTTGCAACCCAGAAGATCCACCATGTCTAGTAGACTGAAAAGTTGAAGCACCAGATGCAACAGGTCTGACACTCGCACCACCTCTATGAAAGAAATCACCCCTGCCTCTCTTCCTAGGATGTGCAGAAGAATTAACAAAACCAGAAGGCCTCCTGAATCGATTCTGGGCTCGATCAGTATCTCTCTTGTGCTCCATACCCAATAGCTCTATTTCTTCAGCAGTCTTGGCTATCTCGACCAAGGCGTCAAAATTCCTCTCCCGATGGGTAGCAACTCGACTCCTGATCTCATACCTGAGTCCATTCTCAAACCTCAAGCATCGATCTGCCTCAGTGTTAACAAGTCCAGGGGCATAACGACTCAATCGGATGAACTCAACCTCGTAGTCCATAACAGTCATATTACCCTGCTCCAGATTCTGAAACTCCTGGCGTCGTTCCTGTAGATATCTCTCTCCGACGTAACGACTCCGGAAACGTTCTTTGAAAAGATCCCATGTTAACTGGTTTCTTGGAATACTACCAGAAATGGATTGCCACCATCTGAAGCTTTCTTTCTTTAACATAGTTAGGGCCCCCTTCAACTTCTGCTCAGGTCTGAGGTCCATCTCATCCATAATCCTCTCTGTGTCCTCCAGCCAATACTCAGCGTCTGTCGGAGGTCCACCAGTAATACCCTCGAATGGAATTACACCAGCAGCGACCAAAGAATTTGAAATCTCCACTGCAGTCATGTTACTAGGGGCTCTAGCAGCTCTCTGAAACATGCGGAAGATAGCTCTATTAATGGCGTCTTCATTCATCTCAGAATCCTCATTTTCAGTGACAGGAGGGTCTCTCACAGGAGTAAACTGATCATCTTGAGAAAGAGTCGGATCTACTTGTGGAACAGGAGAATCAAGTGGTGACAATGGATCGTCTATCGTAACAGAAGGTCGAGCGACTCGCCCTCTACCACGTCCACGTCCTGCCCTACGACCTCTAGCAGCATTCATTATTGGATCTATAAGGCTCTACAGAAAGAATTCGAAACATATGTCAGATTAGCATCAGGGATCTCGAGAAAACTTTAAATTATAAAATATGGTGACACGTTTTTTTTTTTTTTTCAAAATTTAGGACCCATATACAGTCCGAGTATTTAAAACCGAAAGCTCTGATACCACCAAATGTAACCCCCTAGACCCGGCCTAAACGTTAGACCCAAACCTAAGCGGGCACATGTCCCATTCAGAGATTTCTTTATATTTAAAACACTTATATTACATTATTTATAATACAAAACAAGATATTAGTAATACAAATAAGTCCAAAACGATAGCAAATACATGTCACCAAACACAACTGAAAAACATATAGAGATATACGTTCGTACAAATTAAGTAGTTGATCTTCCCTGATGCCAAATCTGCTAGCTTACGGTCTTCTACTATCTGAAAAAGGTTAAAAACTACAGAATGAACTAAAAAGCTCAGTGTGCTCCATACAGTATATAATAAAAACATACGGATAAAATCTTTCAATGAAATCGGTTTATGCAACATGTTTTTAAAACATGAACACTACCCCCATCCGTTCACATCATAATTGTGTAGGTTCCCCAGAACCATACACCCAACCGCACATGCCATTTAGACCCTGAGCACAAAGCCGAGAAGTCTGCAGATAATCTTCCTTCAACAATACCCACCCAAATGACAATGAATGTATTCAAATGAAAACAATGATTAATCACTTAAAACATAACAAATATTTCATGCTTAAAAACCATATGCAGAAATACGAAAATCAGAATTCAAATCAATAATTCAGATATCAGATAAGCAGATCTCAGAAGTCGGTATGAAATACCTTAATTCAGAAATTATATCAGAATATATAGTAAATCAGATATCAAGTATTCGGTATTCAGATAAATCATTTAAATCAGTAATATAATACTGTTAGGAAACACACCTGTAACAGTCTGAGAAATCGGATAGGGAAGCCTACTACTGGATTTGTCGATTACGCTCTGCTGCAGCGCTAGATCCTACGAATTGGAAAAATCCTTATTGGAATTCTAATAAAAAAATAATCTTAATCTTTACTTAAATAATATACGGAAACCTACGGGTAGTTCTTGTAATACGCGGTTCGGACTGATCTGACGAACGGACAACACCGGACCTGACTGATCCTTGCTCAGGTGAAACACGAGTACCTTCATAAAATATCTTACTTAATCAATTTCTTAACCATATATCAAAATACTAAAATACTAAGCCTTTTTAGGTTCACAAGCTCGATTCGGGAATTTCGGGTCAGAATTTGGCAAAACGGACTTCGGAATCAAACTCAGGACGTCGAAAAACATAAAGTATGACCTTCCGAAATTTCGAATTCTCGGTCAAAATCAAAGTCAACGGGTTTGACTGACGATTTGGAGACTTCCAGGTTCGAATTTGGTGAAACAGACCCCAAAAACAGATTCGGGACGTCGAAAACTGTCAGGATAGGTGTTTTCGGAAAAGATTAACGATCGTTTAATAGCCGGTCAAAGTTCTGGTCAAAGGAGGTCAACAATCTGTTGAACATTTTACACAAATAGCACCCTTTTTCGAATTATTTACCAGAATAGCACCAAAACTGAATTATTTACCAGAATAGCACCAAAACCGAATTATTTACCAAAATAGCACCAGTCAACGGTCAACGGTCGGGTCGGGTCAACGGGTCGGGTCAACGGTCGGGTCGGGTCAACTATCGGGTCGGGTCGTGACCGGTCAAACCGGTCAAACCCTTAAGAAAACCGGTCAAACCGGTTTTTTTCAAACATTCACTCGCCCACCGGCGGCGCGTGTAGGCGCGTGGGACGTCTTCCGGGACTCTAAAAATTCCGGAAAAATTTCTAAAAATTATTTTCAGTGATTTCGAGATACTTACAAAGATCGGTTCAAATTTTTGAACGGCGGAGAGCTCGATTTCATCAAATCGGAAACTTTGACCGCTTCACCTCCCCACGCGCCGCCGTCGACGGAGATCGAGGATGACACCGGCGAACTCGGAACGGCACAAGGAACACGATGGTGCGGGAGGTGTCGTAAACGGAGCAACGATCGGCGATGAATTTAGGATTTTCAAGGCGATTGAGCTAAAAAAAAACGTCGATGCTTTGACTTGAAATTCACGACGTTTGGCAGCGTTTCGCTTCAATTAAATTGAGGGGATTGTTCCTGACTCGATAACGAACACGATGGTGCTTTCAAAACAACGATCGGAATTCAGACGGCGTCGGAATCGGGGTCGGAAGTTGAGGCAAGGAAATGGAAATTTGGGAGGAATTGGGTTCTGATTTTCAGAACCCAATTCACGCATAAATCATATATATAAACCAAATACCTAACTTTTTTTGGGTAAATTCAGGGCTTGGTCCCTGAATTTCCTTTAACTCTAAAACAAGCTTCAAGTTTTAAAATCTTTCAATTTAGTCCCCAAATTTTCACCAATTACACAATTAAATCTTCAAATCCCAAATTAATATTATTTGAAATTTTCGGGTTGTTACACCTGGCCAGCTCGAGTGCCAATTTTACATGAAGACTGGAGATTGTAAATTTGGTGCTGTTTGTAGGTTTCATCACCCAAGAGAAAGAGTTCTTCCTGATCCTGATTGTGTGTTGAGTCCCATAGGCCTTCCTTTACGTCCAGTGAGTTATGTTTTCATTGGTATTATGTTTTCAAGTTTTTTTTCTGAATCTTATTGTGTTCAAATAATTACGGCTGTTTATTAAAAACCTAGTATGCATGCTACCTAAAAATGCCATTCCCCCATCTATAATCTTACTTGACCTTTTCTTTTAAAAACTTGGTTTCCTGATTGTTTTAATTGCATTCCTAGCTAACGATTCTCTTATGTTAAAAAATTGATGTTGCTTTGATACACCTGCTGGCAATTGGTCATTTTACGGCTGCCATGCAGAACTTTAAATTATATTAGAGGGAATTGGCATAAAATAGATTTTTTTTCTTTTTTGCTTGGCATAATTGATGTTACTTCAATGTAAAGATAATCTCTCTAATTTCCTTTCTTCTACCTTTTACCTGTATTTCTCCTCTCTGTCTATGTTTCTGCCCCTCCAGCCAGCATCAGATTAATAATTTGAACAATGTGAAAATTTTTCAAGAGGCTTTTCGATATATCCAACTATTAGTTCTCTCCTGGGAAAAAACCAGTTCATAACTTTGTGGTAATCAGAATACCGGCAATAGCTTAAAGTTGACATAATAGATGATTCAGTACAAAGTTTCTTTGTGTTGATAGAATAATGGAACCAGTAAAGTTTTTTTATTTGCACTAACTGGGGTTTACTCCAACTGTAAACTGTGTACCAAAAAGAAAAGATGAACTGTAAGTTTTATCAGAGGATACTCTTAAAGCCTGTACATGAACTTCATTGCTTTGACGGAACAGATCAACATCTAGAATACAAAATCCAGGTTTATTTTGTACTCTTAAAGCCTGTACATGAACTTCATTGCTTTGACGGAACAGATCAACATCTATAATACAAAATCCAGGTTTATTTTGTAAAACACATTTAGAATATTACAATGGTATAGATTAGTTATACAACACATTTAGAATATTACAATGGTATAGATTAGTTATACAGCACATTTAGAATATTACAATAGTATAGATTAGTTATAAAACATATTTAGAATATTAAACTAGTATAAATTTATTTTATAAAACACATTTAGAATATATATTACTGCTATAGTTCTTTATTCATTTTATAAAATACAAAATTCCAGATTTATTTTTCTGAACTGTTTAAACAAGATCAAGTCATGAAACTGAAATCTAGTTTCTTAAATTTCAATTTTGTATACTTTTTCGTCATATGGTATCCATGTATCCATTTTCAGCTTTCAGACTCTTCATAGCCTACTCTACTAGTCTGAAATTATTGATGAAAGGAGTCAACCTTGGATCAAATCTAAACCAGAACCCGTACTGAAGGTCGTGTAACATAGGTTACGAGGTTATTATCCAAATTAACTTCCTAATTTCATAGTAATTACTGTGCCTTTGTTTTGTTATGGCAGAGACTAGAGAGCCTTATCGTGGCATTTTGTTTTGAAGCTGTAATGCTGTACAGTTTCATCTTCAATTGTAGAATGTTACTATTTTGATTTCTCTTACTTTCGTTTTTACTTAACAAGCTTATAATTTTTGCTTATCCGTTATCCATCTTGCACATGTTCTTTCTTGTTTGAGGGTGGCTTTGCTTCTCGTCATTTTGTCTTCCATGCAATATTACCATTGATTTTATGGGGCATTTGGTTGGTTTGCAAGAAGATGTTCGCTACTATGTGCGGGCATTCACTGTTGCTAGTTTTATTCTTTTGTCGCTTGATATTGTTTACAATTTTGATATTTCTACTTCTGCATTTCAACAGAGTGAACCACTATGCATATTTTATTCTCGATATGGGATTTGCAAGTTTGGTCCAAGTTGCAAGTTTAACCATCCTATGGGAGTTTTCACATACAATTACTCGGCATCATCTCCATCTGATGCCCCGGTTCGTAATTTCCTGGGGTCAACTTCAGGAACTACTGGGTTAAACCTGTCACCAGAGGGGATTGTTGAAGCAGTTTCTACAAAGCCCGGGCGACTTTCACTGTCAGAAAATAGACAGTTGTCTCCCAGTGATGATAATATTGACACAGAGGGATAAAAGCTGCAACAAGATATGGGCTGATTACATTTGACGATATTTTTGGTGGATGAGGAAGAGTAATCTGTAAATTCATTTCCCATTGTTGGATATGTGCAAAGTTCATATCAAGTTGATTTTGTTCTCTGAAAAATATGCAATTCAGTCAACAGTTGCATTTTCTGAATTTCATAATGCTGCATTGTATAAATCTGAAAATTATGTAACATTTGGTAAACGAATGTGAACAATTCAGCCGTCCCCAAGCTCGTATTCCTTTCTGATTTTGGTGTTATGTTTCTTTCACATTATGTCGTACGAGGCATTTTCTTCCTTTTGAGTGCAGTTTTTAACCCTCTGCCTAGTTTTCTTCTGAGTCTTTATGGCTTGAGATTCCATTGTTTCTTCTTCTTGGACCTCAAATACGCAGGCAGTTTCTAATAACAACCTTGTTTCTTGAGGTAATAATTACTATCTGCCCTAATATCAATCAATCTGTGAGTGATTCTCTAAGTTGTTTTTTGCACTGAGACGTATTTTATTCCTGATTGTATGTTAGAAATTGTGGTGCGAATTGTAAATGGGTACACATTCAACTCTCCAGCCAAAAGAAGTGGAAAAGCATTGTTCTATATTGTTGCCGCATCATTTCCTCGAAGTCTCTGAAGCTCCTGGAGATCTCACTGCATGATAAATTGCTCAACGAAGATGAGCTTGTAAGTCACTCCTACAGAATCTCATGTTTTGCGGGGTTAGTTCATATTTACCAAGTATCATACTCTTTGTCTTTGCAAGAGGCTTTTGAAGACGATAGTGAATCCTCAGAATATTGCCAATAAATGATTTAAGATTTCTTATAAATATCCTTGCCAAAATCGTATCAGGTAAAATTTCAATCATGGAAAGCTGCGTTTCTATTTATTTTCCTATTTTAATGAGAAAATTAGTTATGTAACATGGGAATTTCTTTAGTTTAAGATGTAAGAAGGTTTATGTAAGAAGGTTTTTGGCCTTTGTTTTGGGACCTTGCATTTCGTGCATATATATATGTTGATTGGCGAACAAGTTTACTTGTTGTTTGCTCCGTCTTTCCTTGCAACTCTGGTTTTTTGGTTTGAAAATATAGATATTGTTACTGGATACCTACCGAGGGCTGATACTTTCGCATAAAATGACTTTTGAAGAACACTTTTCGGTCTTTATTTTTTTGAAGAATAATTTGGTCAATGAAAATGAACTTCAGGTCAGTGGAAAGTAAAACCCATCTTTTTGGAAATTGACATGTGCTTTCCAGAAGCACAAGTTTTCATTAAAGCTAAAGCAAGTAAAAAGAAAGCACAAGTTTCCAGAACTTATTTAGATTTGTGCTTTGTTGCAGTTTGTTACACCGGCACATACATATATTTTTTCCCGGAAGTACTATTTCGAAAATGTCACCAAACCATTTTAAGGAATTTTGAAACCCACCCCAGAAACGTCCTTTCGGAGAGAGCAATCTAAGTGATAAGATAATAAAAGATGGGATTCTAGCACCTTTTCAATTCGACCATATTCTAATGAATATTTCTATGATAAAAGAGTTTAACATCCACCGATCAGTATTAGTTGACACGGAACGATCTATACTGACTGATGTTAAAATTGAAACGACATCATGCAGATATATACAGTCTTCTATTTAAATATCAGTCTTAAAAAATTATTTCTTAAATTGATACTCATTCATGATCAATTTTTATAATATCATCCTTTTCTAACAAGTAAATTGAAGGTTTGTTTTGTTATTCGCATCTTTTAAAAGGTGTTTTATTGAATGCGATTTTATCCTACATGGTAATCCAGTCTAGGGATGATTAATGAGTTGAGCAGCTTATAAGTAGTTCGAACTCGACTCGGTCAAAGCTCGATAAAAACTCGACTTGATACCTTAACGAGTTAATTCAAGTAAAGTACAACTCGACTCGATAAGTTTGCGAGCAACTCGTTAATTTTTTATATAATTTTTCAATAGTTATCTTAAAAAAGTATTTCATTCAAAAAAATATTAATTTACTAATAGATAATAAAAAGGATGATGAATTGCTAATATATTAATTTTCTAATAAACAACAAAAAAATACAAAATTATTAATTAGTATTTTACAACAACAAAAAATATAAAATTATTATTTTAATGTATTTGTGGATTGTTACTTTGGAGTTTAGACTTTGAAATTATTTCATACACTCTTTTGATAATATTTTTGGTTAAATTTATTAATGTATGTTTATATTAAGCTTTTTATAGTATTAGTATATTTTACCTATAATTAAGAAAATAAAGTAAAAATTTCGATGAGTTTAGCGAGCAACGAGTCGAGCAATAAATTTTTTTAACGAACAAGGGTCAAACACTGTCCAACTCGCGACCAACTCGCTCAATAAGCCCACCTAATCCACTCAATAATTTTTTTATATGAAAAGTGCGATTGATGAAATATATTTTTCAGAATATTAAATTTAAAAATAATTAAAAGAAAGAAAAATTTGTTCTAAATTGTTATAGATTTAAATAAATCAAAATTATTATAATTATAAATCTAAATCAATTTCTTATAAGTCTGGAAAAAAGTTGTTATAAATTTAAATTTAATTAAAATACGATAATATAATAAGGAAAAGTCATAATACTGATAAAATAATAAAAACTAAAAAATATATTCTTATCACCAATGATTTCTTTCTAAACAACGCGGTGATCGTTGACTTCACGTTGAATTTTTCTGTATTAATTATTAGAATTGTCATTGTTTTCGTCATCTTAATTGTTTAACATTATGGACATCAATGTATGTTGATCGGACGGACCCATTCATCAACACGCCCTAATAATACAGTGATGATCAACTTATAAAGAATAACGAATGCGACAATGTCTGATTAAGAATCTCACCACTTAATGTGAAATTATAAAGAATTAAAATATATCATTGGTGAAAATAACATCGTTGATTGGACTGACTTAATTGGTTGTGTTGATATTAGCGGAGGAGCATCGGTTGTCAAATATTACAATATAAACTAAATATCCAATAACTGATAATTAGACTGTTTTAATTTTAAGTGGTAGAAAAAACATTATTGTAAAAATTAATTAAAAAGTATATGTAAATCTTAAGGGTGATATTTAAATAAAAAAAACAACAATGCATGCTTCCGTTTTATTTTTAAAAAACAATATGTATAGGTTGGTATAGTACGGACCAGTAAGGTAGTAAGACAGCATCACGAAGGCCCCTCCCATCCTATCCCATGAGCTTGTACTTACTCATTGCCTGCACTCTTCAAAGTGAAGAAAAATAAAAGTGCATCTCAAATTTTCAATTAAATTTGCTAATTTAATGTGTATTGTTTTATGTATTTCATTTATTAAGCGTGTCGTTATAAATGTAATATATAAATAGGTTACAATTTTAATTAAGTCAGATATATTAAAGGATTTAAATATTATATAATATTTATTGCATAAAATTAACAATTACGTGACAAAATGTAATATAAAAATAATAAAACTTACCCAAACCTCAACTTTTCCCTACTATTTTCTGATTCTCTCTATAAAATTCCACAGATGTATTTTTTATTGTTATTACTATTAAGTATTATTATTACACATAAATCCCATTTAAGACACTCAATAACACCACCGATAAGAAATATGTTGTTTAAAAAACAATGCATTGTTTCATTTATGATTTGCACCAAATCAAAAATTAAACTAAATACAAATACTGCAAGTGGTGTCCCTTCTCTTCAACAAAATCAAGTAAAATAAAAGAAAAAGAATCAATACCCATTTCACTTCCTTTTTTTTTCTTTTACTACCCAACAGTTCATCAAATCAGTCCCAAAAACAAAAACCCACTGCTACAAACATGAAATCCGGTCATGGGGTCACTCCTTTTCTCCTGTTTCTCTTCATCTCAGCTTATGTCTTCAATTGCAATGAAGCTACAAGCACGTCACAAGTGAGTATCAGAAAACCTTGCTTTGAATGCATAGATCCCTTTGCTTTTGTTCCTTTATTTTGTGGATTTAAAGTTTGTTTCTCGATTTGAAGGTAAACGGGTCTTCAGAAATGGTTCCATTGGTGGATGAGAAAACGGTGAAGATGATGACGTTGTTCAATGAGAGCAGGAGAAAGCTGGGGAGTTTCCAGATATGCGCTGTTTGTACATGCTGTGGTGGAGCTAAAGGTGTTTGCTTACCATCTCCTTGTTGCTATGCAATCAATTGCAACATTCCAAACAGACCATTTGGTTTCTGTTCTTTCACCCCCAAAACCTGTAATTGCTTTGGATGCCATCTCTAAATCCTTATTTCTCACGTTTTGGTTGTTTTATTTCAGGTTTTTTTTAAAAAAAAATTGCAAAAAATATTGATTCTGATGCATGTTTGAAAGTGGAGAAAGAGAATATCTGCTCTTCTTCATTTGTTTGTTTATAAAATTTCATAGGGAGTTTGCTGTTTCCAGTTTAGTTTTTTTGGCTATCTCCAGTGGGATTTGTCTATAATTTTTGTTTTTTCAAGGAAGTAGCATTGCCTGGAAATTGTATTAGAGCACAAGATATGGGATCATTGGGGAAACATAGTCTTTGTTTGTGAAACTAATGGGTCTTATTATAAAGTTGTTCTTCTTCTCTCTTCTTTTAGGATATAAATAAATGTTAATTCTCGGTAAGGCATGACAAAGATTCAAGATGCCTATTATTTTTACTACTCATCAGTGGGTGTATTGCATAATGCAACTTGGAACAATGTAAGAGACTTATTTTAATGTCAATTTGTTTGTAAATAGTGTTTGTGTATATAATGTTTCTGCTGCTTCACACTTGAACTAGCACAGTATCTTTAGTCAGAATAGGTCAAAAAAATAAATAAATAAAATATTCTTGGTGATGATGCTCAAGGGAAAGTGAATTCCTAGAACTTTGTAGTTTGGCTTGTTGTGCCTGCCATGTCTTTTTTTTTTTTGGAAGAATTTTTGCAGCTTTAAAAGGTCTCAAATACTGGGATTCAATGCTCTTTGGTTATATGTGTGCCATGAAAGAGTTTTTAAGATGTGAATTGCCTTAGGAAAAAATGAGGGTTTTGTATGGTAGAAATGACCCTTAGTAGCTGAGATTTAAATGTTGGTGAAGGGAGATGTGTTATATATTGTGAGCCAGCAAAACATATTAGGGTTAAAGTTTAATATTGTGAATGAAATAAATTCAGTTGAGAGTTCGTTTTTACAATAGTCCCTTATAATATATGACTTGGATTAGATCTATCAATAGATCTCATACTGATGACTATATATAAAAAAAAATTCTAAATCTGAATATTAATGTGTTTCTCTTCATTTTTTGTTACTCTTATTCAAGTATAACTATCAATTATTGTATGACATATGCTTATTTTTTTAGGGTAAAAGAAACTATTAGGGTCCCCCTATTATAGGGATTGAGTCAAATTAGTTCTTCTATTATTAAATGTATTAATCTAGTCTTTCTATTATAAGAATTAATATAAATTAGTCTCTCTATAATTAAATAGATTAATTAGTCTTTCTATAAAATTATAAATTAATCTATAATTAAATTAGTTATGCAAATCAGTATTTTTCTTTTCAAAATCATTATTTTTGATTTGCAATTCTTTTATCTTACTTTCAAGCTCATTGTTGGTCTTGGATAAAAGACTATTTTCAATTTTCAATTTTGAAGTATCATTTTTGTATTTTGAAAATAGAGTCTTATAATTCGAAGCCAAATCATTATAATCCTTTAATAACTCATCATAAGATAATTCATCTGAATCGAATGAGTTAGAGGTTACCTTAGAATCTTTCCCGATAGTCATTAAGCACAAGTTTGCAACTTCTTGTTCCTCTTCATCGGAACCTTCTTCATCGCTCCATGTAGCTACATGAGCTTTGTGCTTCTTTTTGGATTGACCCTTTTTCTTCAATTATGGGCAATCATATTTGACATGCCCTGGCTTTTTGCATTCATAGCAAATGATCGGGTCTTTCTCATTCGATTCAGTTTTGAAGCCTTCATTGCGTTTGAATTTTCTTCCTCGGTTGGGCATCATCAACTTTCTGAATCATTTGACAAATAATGTCATTTCCTCGTTATCATCATCGTCATTCGAATCACTCTCATATTTTGTGGATTTGAGAGCAACTCTAATGTTTTTATTCTTCTCCTTCTCCTTTGGTGTCTCGTCAACTTATCGAGGTCCACTTCATCTTCAAGCATTATTTCATGAGTGAGAAGGGAACCAATTAGCTCTTCAAGAGTTAAGGACGTTAAGTCCTTAGACTCGATGATTGTCGTCTTCTTTGATTGCCACGATTTTGGAAGAGAGTAGACTAACTTCCTCACAAGCTTTTCATTTGAAATGATATCTCCAAATGATTTGAGACCATTGACAATCGTTGAAAATCTATCCGTCATAGCTTTGATATCTTCATTTGATTTCATCCTGAAATTTTCATAGCTATGCGTTAGAATGCTAATTTTAAATTTCTTTACCTCATCGGTACCTTCATGAGTGACTTGAAGCTTGTCCCATATTTCTTTGGCGGTTGTACAAGATGAAACTCTTTCGTATTCATCTGGTCCAAGAGCACAAAATATGATATGGATGTCTTTGGAGTTGAGCTGGAATATTCTTGTCTCTCCTTCACTCCACAACCTTGGATGAGTGAGAGGCTTGATGTATCCTTCTTCTACGGCATTCCATACTCCCATGTCACTTGCTTGAATGAAGTACATCATCCTATTTTTTCAATAGGCATAGTTAGCTCCATTGAAGAAAGGAGGCTTGTCGACGGGCATCGAATCGAGACCGGAATCGTAATTTGAAGCGGAGGCCATTGATGACTTGATAATCGATGTAACTCTTCCCGAATCAACTCAAGAGGCGATTAAACCTTCAAATGGGTGAGGCTCTGATACCAATTATTGAGTTAATCGATCAATGGAATCAGCCAAGAGGGGGTGAATTGGCAATAAAAATTTTGGTTGAAGCTTTTGCAGAAAATTGAAAGTAATTACACAACGATTTACAGTGGTTCGACTTTATCAACCAAAGTCTACGTCTAGCACCTTAGCTATCCACACTAAGAATTTTTCAACAAATTCACTAATTTGTTTTTTTCTTTTGAGGCCAAAGAGATAACCTTACAACTCCCTCAAGAATAAACCCCAATTCTTGAGAACACTCTTTTCACAAAGAGAAGATTACAAATTTGCAAACTCACAAGAAAAAACCTCACAAGGTAAATATGTTTGCACAATTCTAGAACAAAGAAAGAACACTCAAGAATAAATACAATTGAGCACAATAAGTGTTCTTGAAAGCAAAATGAATATTGAATGAAAAATAGGTTTGAAATGCTCAAACTTGAGGTTTGATGCTTTCTCTTTGATTCTCTCTGGATTCTAATTGCTTGATGTTTCTTATTCTTGATCAATGGGTTCTAAGCTTTTTTAAATACACCTTCAAATGATTCTGAACGTTGGGGATGCTTAGTGGAGTCAATATAGCCGTTTAAGTGTGAAAACAATTAATAAATTCAGTTGGGAGCGTCAGTGCATCGATGCATACCCATGGTGCATCAGTGTAAAATTCAAATATTTTGACCGTTGGACCCTTAGTGCATCGGTGCACTAAGAGTGCATCGATGCATCAAGTGCATTCGATGTTTCAAAATAGCCAGAGTGCATCGATGCATAGCTGGTGCATCGATGCATCAAATGCATTCGATGTTTTCATAAAATCCTCAGTGCATCGGTGCATGGTATGTGCATCGGTGCATGGTATGTGCATCGATGCATGATATGCATTTGATGTTCAATTTAATTCATGGTGCATCGATGCATGGATTGGTGCATCGGTGCATCACTCTGAAAAATTGATTTTAGGCTTGATTTTGGTTCAAAATACTTTGTGAAAATTTGTTTAAAAATAGTTTAAGTATAAAACACAAATTTACACATTTAGTAAGGTTTAAAATTGATCTTGAAAGACTTGGAGTAATAGTTTGATATTCGAGTAATTAAATCGAATATACTTTTAGAAAATCATTTGTAAAATCTTAAAATGCATTTAACTTAATTTGTTATATCGAAACATCAAAATGTTTTTCAACAATCTCCCCCTTTTTGATATAACAAAACTCTTGAGTAATTTTAAGATTTTCTTTGAAAATAAGTTTTGAAATCAATTTTGAAATTACTCCAAATTACTCCCCCTTACTATAACACTTATCCCATTTAAAACTTTTAACACTTAACACTTCTCCCCCTTTTTGTTAAATCAAAAAGACTCAAAAACTGAAGGCTTTGAAAAACATAGCCAATTGATTAAACATTTTAATTGAATATAGCTTAAGCTGCTAAGATCAAAGATCAAAATAGAGGTTAGCCATTAGTGTTCATAATCAATATTCAAATCAAATGTGAAATGGTAAATTGGTCATAATGCAACTAAAAAATAAATGATGCGTATATTGAAACAAACCAAAATATATATGAAATAAAAGTTCAAATATCCATCAAACAAACATCCAACAATCAAAGAAAGACAATCCAAAATGTTTTAACAATTTAAATTTCAAACCCAAAAACAATCAAAGCAAGATAAGTCTATTCATCCATCGAAGGATCGGGAGGAAGAGGAGGGTAACGAGCTCTCATCTCAAGCTTGAGTGCATCCAAACGATCATTCATATCTTGTTGTCGAGCTCCCAAGGTAGAGAGCTGGGACTCAATGAATGTGAAGTGTGAATCCATTGACGTATACCGTAAATCAAATGTCTAAAAAAATGAACGAAAATATGAAGGCATTTGATCTTCTTGTGGAGCTGTTTCCGGTGCAGGCTCGTCATCAGGTACGTGATCATCGATGTCTTGCATAAGTTGTTGAAATTCAGGATCATCGTCAGAAGCCGGAGCCGGAGGAGGAGGAAGAGCACGAGAGGAGCTAGGAGTAGCTTGTGAGGAACTAGCTCCCGGAGTTTGTTTACCGAGTTTAAAAGCCCATAAACCTGTTACCTCATCCAATTTCCAATCTGATTTCTTTAAGGATATGATATTGATAGGGTTTTGAAGTAGTATAGGATTGTCAAGAGAGACATCTAGAACCAGTTTGATAAAGAGATTACTTAGAAGACAACCATAAACTAATGTTTCGACATGTTTGGACGGGATAATGTTTATGATGTCCACTAGTTGGCTGAATATAATGTGGGGAAGATTTATTTTGATTTTATTTTTAATACAATACATCCACCATAAATCCCTAGCACGAAGTGTGGAGTACCTACCTCCGGATGGTCTAAACCACCAAGAGATCATCAAATGGAGAAAACGATCGTGATGAGATCGTAGAGTACTAACACTTGAGTTTGGAACATAGGAATAATCTACAGTTTCATTCTCATTATATATCCCATCATCATCTAACCCAAAACGGAAAGCTATAG